CAAGAATATCAAGGACAAATCCTGTTATTTTCCCAAGATTCATGTCATCAAGACTTCTTTTTGATGATGCATTGGCAGCATTCTTTTTACTATCATCAAGCATTTCATCCAATTTCCTTTTTCATGAAGCCTTATCAATTCATCATTTAATTATTTCATTATCAACATTTTCCTTGTTGGCAAAGGCTTCTTCATAATTTCTACCTATTGTCAAATAAAATAAAAATTCAGCTTATGTTTTTGTGTAAAGTCAAATTGTTGTGTTCTCACAACTAACTTACCAAAACAAATGATAACTTCACAAGCTAAAATAGCAACGTCTTGGAGTGCATGGTCACTCCAATGACCTTTTTCATCAATCACTATTCCATGAGCCAATTTATTCTTTTTAAAATGAGTTAGTAACTCAGTGGGTTAGCCTTATATTGACCATGGAATACAGATTCTTTTAAGAAATGTTGATGTTTTCTAGGATAAAGTTTAGCATGCATAGTAGATCTGCATTACAAAAGTCTCTGCTAATAGGAGAACATTGTTTAGCCACAAATACTTTAACAGTTTCTAAAGGAATAATACATTCGTTTTTAACAAGAAAATTATAAACTGCTTTCTCAGCAAGGTTAATGAAAGGCTCTATAACTGCACCTTGCTCATTGTCAGTAAAAGAAAATGATTGTTTAACTCGTGGAGAAGAATTGCAAGCAGAACCATTATTATTGTGATGGTTGCATGTTTTGGTACATGTTTTAATTTTTTTTCTATTTTTATCACTTTTAAATCTAAAATTCTTTTATTATTGAATCACAATAACTCAATCACTAGAGTTTGCTGATGATGAGGTAGTTCTTTAAATAATGCAACTTTTGCTTTTAATTTATGTTCTTATCAAAAAGAAAAACTTGAGGGCAATCAAACAAACTATAAAAAATGTTGTGTGAAAAAATTGTTTATTGTAACAAGTTAATATTAATTAGTTTTGACTAAATAAAACTAAATAAAATAGTAATATTTTATTTAAATAAACTATCATCATTCTTAACCAAAATTATTTGCTAATACCAAAATTAATTTGTTAATAACCCATTCATTCTGATCCACACATAAACAAAAACAATTGTTATCACCCATTAAATCACACCCAAATTTAATTGGTGACAAAAGCATAAATATACATTTGCAGAAGTTGTTGTTATGATTTAGTATAAATAAATTAGAAGAAATTGTATTAAACAATATTGAGATTTACTGTGAGACATAGATTTTTATCTCATTTTTTATTAGATATAAAATGTTAAAACAGTATATATAAATGTTGAATATAAAAAAAATACTAATAAAATAATAAATAAATAATATTAAATGATGATAAGAGGCATGACAGTAGGTTGCTTCAATCTGGTTAAATTATAAGGAGGATTTGCTTTAATTTATAAATCATCTGGTATAGTTAATTCAATTTGTTTAGATTCTATAATTGTTTATGATTTAAAATATCATTAATAATAAATAATTAAGATTAA